TATAAATGATTTATTGATTATTATAAAAAAGTTTCTATATATTCTTATAAACTGTTTATAAAAAAGATTTAAAAGGGTTTATAAATGATACAAACCCTTTTAAATTCTTAAAAATGAAATACCAAGTTTTTGCACATTTATAAAATTTTATTAATTTATTTATAAGGGTTTATAAATTTATTTATTTAGAATTTATAAATTGATTTATAAGGATTTATAAATAAATTTATAATGGTTTATAAATGGATTTACAAGTGTCTATAAACTAATTTATAAATGTTTAAAAACTGAAATAGAATAAACTGAATTTTTTTCTGTGTTATAAAATGATATATAAAGGCATATAGATATAGCTTGGCAACCTATATTGTGCATTAGTAAACATAGCGAGAATAACAAAGCCAGCTTGTTGGAGCAGCCTACTGTCTAAAATGCATGCTAAAGGGAAAACTAAGACAAGAGTTAAAGAAAGAATAATTCTGTATCATACCAGCTTGCCACTTTCAGAGAACCATTTACTAAATAGAGAGTGAGCATTGACTTCAATCAATTGGCAATGTAGATACCTGGCAAAGGAAGTATAAATCAAAGTCAAATAGAAAAATAATAGAAATAACACATGAGGCTGAAAAAACAAGAAAAGCATTCAATGGTCAGCATCTTCTATAACAGTCTAAACATCAATATATTAAAACCCAAGCAAGCAAAGCATACTCGTCCTTCAGCCAGGTCGTTGAGACAGAGCGTATGATTCTCATTTCTCTCCCACGGATTAAGTACTCTTTTCGTGTTGATCGCCCGCTCATCTATTGTCCCAGGAACTGCTATATTAATAAACTTACTATGCCAAAAAGGAAAAAAACAGAGAATCAAGTCAAACCAAATCTAATATGTTTAGACCTTTTTGATTGGTTTAATGTCTTTTGACTAGAGTTTCAATTTAATGTTCATGACAGACATGCACAGGAAACATCCTTATAGCGATTAATCCTTTTCAACGGTTGCCTCACATATACGATGCCCATATGATGCAACAATACAAAGGATCACCTTTTGGAGAATTAAATCCTCATGTTTTTCCTGTCGCTGATGTTGCATGCAGGTGATTTTAAATACTTTTTGTAAATATATATGTATTATGATCAGCCTAAGACGCCTTTTACCTGTTTAAACTCAGGGCTATGATTAATGAAGGGAAAAGCAATTTGATTCTTGTAAGTGGTGAGAGCGGAACAGGAAAAACTGAAACTACTAAGATGCTTATGAGATACCTTGCGTATTTAGGAGGTGGTGCAGTTACAGAAGGAAGGACTAACAATGTCGATAATGTGGCAGCAAGCTGGCATTGCCATTACTATGAATGTTGATGCTACATCAACATTGCTCAAAACTGGCGTTACAGCAACAGATGATTCTTTTAAATACATTTGGTTTCAGGTTTGTCTTTTTATCTAGAGAAATCTGATGTTGCATCTAAATTGCTAAAAAAATGTAGAAAGAAATAAGCTAGAGCATGTAGATTTTATAACTTGTTTTATAAGCTTTTATAAATGGTTTATAGACTACTACAAATAATTTTACATACCCTTATAAATTGTTTTATAATCCTGTATAATGTGTATAAACTTTATAAATTGTTTTTATAAACCCTTATATATTATTTATATACCCTTATAAAGCCTTACAAATTATTTTATAACCCTTTCGAAATGGTTATAGACTCAATAAATGAATTATAAGATAGAAATAGAGAGAATGATATACGAAATCTTTCTTTCACAACCTCTTCAGTGTCATCTGCTGACTGCTTATAAATGGTTATATATTCCTATAAATAATATTAGAGTTTGAATAATTTCAAATATCTACTCGTTGCTTGTTTTTTTCCTTGCTCTTAATATGTTTGATCTTGTGTTTGTGTGTTAATAGGGAATGCTCAAAGCTTCTAGCTTACATCACTCGAGATGCAGGGAAGCAAGTTATGAAATGATTTATAAAGGTTTATAAGTTAATCTATATATAAGAGTTTATAAACTAATTTATAAACACATATAAACTAGGGAAATTTGGACTCATGTACATAGTTCACAAAATATTAAGTATATATCCATAATTATAACATGGATTTGATATGTTATATAATGTTCTATGAATATCCAAAAACACACTTCTGTTGCGCGTGAAAATGAAAAAACACACTTCTAAAAACTTTTATGAACTTTATAAATGTTTTATAAACCCTTATAAATTATTTATATGCCTTTATAAACCTTATAAATTATTTTACAAACCTTATAAATTATCTTATAAGCCTTTCTAAATGGTTATAGACTCTTATAAATGATTTAAAGACCTTCTAACTGATTCCGTTTATAAACATTTATAAATGATTTATAGACTTTATAAACTTCTTTATAAACCTTTATAAATGGTTTATATAATCTTACAAATAATTTATAAACATTTATAAATCATTTACAAACTTTATAAACTGTTTTTTATAAACTTTACAAAAGATTTATAAACTTTTATTAACTCTTATTGATTATTTACATATTTTTGTAAACTCTTATAAATTATTTTACAAACTCTTATAAATAGGAGGTGGTGTGTCTGGCGTCATTGGAAATGATTAGAGATTGATTAAGATGGTGGTGGAAGGAAAGAAGAGAAGAAACGAGGATGCAGTAGCATCCAAAGTGATATCAAAGATGAAGGCATGAAGACTCTTCTTGGCCTAGTGTGACTGCAGTGCAGACAGATCTTTTGCAACTGTAGAAGCTAATTGTTTATAGGATCATAGAGAGAGGAGACAGAACCATTGTGCTTTCCTGTAATCTTTTGCCTCATGGGAAGAATCATCCAATGATATGTTATTACAACGACAATCAAATGGGAGTAACAACTTGTTTGTTGAAAATGTTCTGTAAACAATCAAATGGGAATAACAACAACATTTGTCATCATGTAATAAAAAGACTTGAACTTGAACTTGAACTTGCAGAAAAAGAAAATGATGAACGTCGATCTAATGATCATGATTAGCACTTCCTCCTCCAGGTTTGTCCTGAAGCAACACATCTTTCTGTTGTTTCAACTGGTTAACTAACCTGCGAACGCTAGGAGGATCCGTAAGTGGTTTCTTCTCTTGAGTTTGCATCTCCTTTTTGGACTAAGATACGGTTTAGGAGGAGGAGCCTTGTCTTGCAGTACAGCAAGCTCCTTTAGACGTATGTATGCTTTCTTCTTTTCCTTTCTCTCTGCAAGATACTCCATCTGAAAATAAAATATCAAAAAATTACCAGTGTTCAAGGAAGAGCAGCAGTATTACGATTCTTCTATATATTCAAGTGTACATTTAGTAACAAAACTTAAAAGAAAACACGTACATTAGCTACAGACATGGCGTCATCTTCACTGATGCCATTCTTGGTCAGTTCAAGGACCCGACAGCCATAAACTCGTGCTGGATCAGGAATAAACGCTGAGACCCTATGGGATAGAAGATAAAGGAAGCATTATATTACAGTAAAGGAAGCATTATATTACAGTAAAGGAAACATGAAAGTCCCCCAGTGAATAAAAAGAGTCACACGGACAGTACTAGTGAAACACACAAGAGAATAAGCCAAAAACTCATAACGCACAGACCAAACCATATGAATGGAGAGACATAAAGAAGGAGAGTTTACTTGTTGGGGGCGACGAGTTTAGCTGGGCCTTGACCAGTGGCTAAGAACACAGTAGAAACAATATTGCTGGCGTGAGCATTGAATCCCCCTAGAACAGTGAGCATATTGAGCTCCACCAAAGAAGCCACACTCGTTTTCGACACCTTGTTCATGATATCTCCTCTGATTACTGTCTCACAAACAACTGATTTTCCACCTCCCTCGATCTAGTTCACAGCAGCAGGTTTCTTGTCCGAACAGAAGTTACCTTAAACAATAAAAACACACAGGAAAAATAAATCTTTCGCTTCACAGAGTTTCACAAGAAAACACCAAACAATAACTCTAGAATCTTATAAGGGAACTCACAGAGATTCCAATCACATCCATGTCAGGAAAATCATCATTTAGAAACTCAAGAACATTCTGCACACNAGTTACCTTAAACAATAAAAACACACAGGAAAAATAAATCTTTCGCTTCACAGAGTTTCACAAGAAAACACCAAACAATAACTCTAGAATCTTATAAGGGAACTCACAGAGATTCCAATCACATCCATGTCAGGAAAATCATCATTTAGAAACTCAAGAACATTCTGCACACCTTTAGATACCATATTCATCCCCACATGCCACATCATCACCAGTGCTATTGAACAAAAAAAAAAAAACATCACCAGTGCTACAACTAAACCTCACACAAGCATTCTTCCCAGCAATTGTTTACATAACACTCTGCAGCCTCGCAAATCTACTTGACCTGCATCCACAAAACCACTTCTTAGTCAATACATCCCCTTTATATAAAGTTTCAATCTTTACATCAAATCAGCTTCCATGCAATTGCAAGCACATAGAAAGTCAAACCACACCTGTTAAACACAACGGAGGCGGAGGAGCGGGGCAGGTGACGAGGCGGTGGTCTAAAGTTTCTGTCGGCGGAATCGATGCGTGAGATGAAGGATTGGACGAAATTGATGCTGAAAAATCTGAGAAGGCCAGATGAAGGAGGCGTTGAGGGCGACGATGGCGTCGAGCTCGGTGTTGGTGACGACGTGGAGAGCGGTGTTGTAATGGATCTTGTCGCGCCATCGGTGGAGGAGGTAGTAGGGGCTACGAGAAAAAGAGGACGAAGAAGACGGCGTCGGTGAGGTTGAGTGGGAGTAGGACATTTAGGTCATTTACCCACTAATGATCTAGGTATTTATGAAAATGTCCCTTAAGTGGTGGTAAAGTTGAATTGTGGTACAGCAAAAATGGTATTTTTGCAATTGTCCCTATTTTGTTTTCTAAAATAAATGTTTCAAATTATAAAACCATAGCCAAATCATACAATATTAGTAAAACCAACGGAAAATCCCTAATAATTTATACTATTAATATTTTAAATATATAAATATTTTCAAATTGACTTTATGTAATAAAATTATTTATATCCTGATAAAACCCTCTAATCTCTATAGATATTAAATTTTTTGTTTATTTATTTTTAAATATTTTGGATGTATGAATGTTTACTTGATGATATATCTATTAATAAATATTTTGTATAATTATTTAGCTCAGATACACATAAAACACCTAGTTAATACAAACCACCTAGTTATAATATACTAAGGATCGTCCACCCCGCGCTTGCGTTGTGTTGTTTTTATCCATGAAGGAGTGACTCATGTGTTGAGGAAATTCTTTTTGAGACTATAAAATAGATTATATTATTAATTGAATCATAAAAGTTTGTGGTCAGGTTTTGTAAATGAATGTTTGTTGATATAGGGATGGATTGTTTTATGTTTTATTTGTTTTATTGGACTTGGGTATATATGTATATATTATGGTATTAAAATGTTGTTTTAAACGTAGTCTATGACTGTTTAGTTTGTTTGCATTTGTTTTCATCTAAACATTGAAAGTTCTTTTTAAAGAGAAAGGAAACAAAATCAAGAGCTTTATGCTCTCAGTCTGAGTGCATGGCTATAGAGCGGACATTTATGCAATGTTTACATGAGCTATGTTTCTTTAGGAATGCTTGTCACCATGTAACGTGTAGTGATTTATGCATTTAGTTGTGGACATTATTAATATGCAAAATGCAGTCAACATTGTCTTTTTTAAATATAAACTTAGTAATTATCCTCTTCATAGAAGGGGTTTGCCGGAAATTAAAGAGAAAAACCAAAGTTAAAAATCATATATATATATAATGGATTCAAAATCATAGCAACTATGAAAATACAGAACAAACAAACTGAAACTATCATTCACGCGTGCATTAGCGACTAATCTCTTCTGCTTTAAAACCGACAGGATTTGGTTCATCATCTCTTGCTGCAACATTGTTGCTGGAAGATGCAGGTGCTTCTTCGCCTTCGTTTGTCACTTGTGTGAGAATGTAAACTGCATGCCTAATAACACATAGGAAGACATTCTCGAAAGAGACGTCTGGCTTTAGGCAAATAGATGGAAGAATAAAGGGTGTCGGTGTATGTGGATTGGACTCACAAACCTTTTCTTTTTATTTATAGAGTTTGAATTGTTCTTCTGATTTTAAAACGAATAAAGTTTAGATCATAAATAAAAGGAGACGGAGAATCGTGGGAGTGAATAGATTTAATGAGAACAACAGATTCATTAAACATGTGAAATCAAAACGTTGAAATAAGGTAAGCAAGAGATGTAGATGAAGAGACAGGGGAGGTAAAAGATAAAGGGGAATGTCTGTTTTTTCTCAAACAATGGATGACACACTGAAGTTCAATACTCGACGGAAGAGTTCAATAACAGAAGAGACGCCTCATGACCTAAGTCTAAACGCAGTTTTTTGTTATCTTTGGCTAAGTGCTTTAGAATGAGTTTCTAAATATAAATTACAAACTCACACCAGCCCACACATAATTATACCAAATCAAAACACATTGATAACGTGGTTGACCGGATGGAATAACACGCGGATCCTATAGAAGTCTTGATACTCAACCATTATAATATAGTCTCCGCACAAACGCGGTTTCAGAGATATAATTGATGTATTCTATAATTTTATTATATATTTTGATGTTTGACATATAAGATGGACCGATATAGCATGTGAAGTCTTTTGTATTAGTCAATAAAGTTTTCAAAAGTTCTATATATCCGCAAACATTATGCAGTCTTATTAAATGTCAAAGGTTCTTCTCAATCTTCTCTTATTCCCATAAATTCGCCATTTTTTTATATTCTGGGAATCCCATAAACGGAAGCGACAAACAAACATAAACTGAGCAGTTCGACCAAACTAAAGATAATCAAAGGTTGAGACGCATGCAACGGCTTTAGCAATCGAAGCAACAGCTGAAGTTATTTTCGAGAAGATGTGATAATATTTGACTGGAAAAAGAATTAATGAGAGAATCAGAGATGAATGGTTTCTCTGTTTAGATATAGTATATATTAAGCGTAATGCAGGAGGTATTATGAACATGGTTCATTATTACTTAACGGAATAAATAGGTACTATTATGCAATCTTGTTAAATGCCAATGTTCTTCTCTTTCTCATAAATTAGCCATTTTTATGTTTCGAGAACCCCATAAACGGAGGTGGCAAAGGTGGGAAAAATCAAAAGTTAACATGCATGTAAAGGTTTTAGGTCTCGATTAGTACATCTGATAATAAAATAGTAGCAGTATGCTGTAGAAGCACTATACTGTAAAAGATGTATGCTCTTACAAAAATTTTGTAATAAAGTGATTGATAGAACAGTAACAGTATATAATTTTATAACTATCATAAAATTTAGTATATAATATATGTATTTTAAATAAATATATATCTATAATATATATTAGTAACATTTATTAATAAAAATAATGAATCTTATCCAATTACATAAATGGTTTTCTATTTTAAATGTGAAATATTAATATTTAGAAAAATAGATAAAATTAATTTTAAAATATTATCTATTTTTTCATATAAACATAATTTTAATATTATTACATAAAATAATAATAATTTATATAAAAATTATATATAATTAATTTATTATTTTATTATTGGTAGAGCATTAAATGCTTAATCTATTTATTTTAAAATAATATAAATATGTTTATATCTATAATATATAATTATATTAAATTTAGGTTTGTTATTAAAAATAATAATTTATATGTGTAATTATATAAGTTATATATTATTTAAAATGTGAATTACTACTTTTAGGTATTATTATTTTTAATATTTATATTTCTAAGAACAAATGATCTTCCAAAAGCTCCATATGAGACATTTAAGAAAATAACATTTGGAAAGCAATGGTCAAGATCTTGAGATTTTTCGATCCTTATTACCCTAATCTTACTCACAGAATTGTTGAGTAAGAAATTTTTGACTTTATATCTAATTGATGGAGGATAAAATTCAAGACCTTTTGTCACTAACATTGTTACTGAACAACATAAAGTCAAGTTTTATTTTACTCTGTTTTGTTTTTACAAGAGAGAGATTTGGATCATTATTATGTTTTGGATCTTGTGCCTCTATCTTATGTTAGACAACAAGAGCTTGCGCTGTTATTTAAATCCTAGGATTCTCTGAGGTAAAGATCTGGGTGACGACTTAATTGAGCTAATGCAGTGTCGTAGAGCAACTTTTGAAATGATAATACTACTGAATTTAAATCCTCTATATATTAAAAGAGAATCATTTAAAAAATTGTAACCTTAAGTTTATAATAATTAAAAATAATTTCAATCCTATGTGACATAGCTTTTTGTCTTCTATTTCAATTTAAAAGGATTCTAGAGCATGTAATATAATGTATAGTCTAAAAATTATCCTCTCTAACAATATAATATTTTGTAGGCTATAGTTGATCATATATATCAAATATTTATTGTTTCGCTTGCTTTCCTTGAATAAAACCTACGGAATTACCTAATGTGATTAAAATATATATATATGACAATTAATTATTTTAAACAATAAAGATTTGATAATAATCTCTATACTTTTTCTCATTCTGTTTATTTCTTTATTATTAAAATAAATTACACAATTACATTAATCATATAATAAAAATATAGATTTTTTTTGTGTATGTTGTATTTAGAATTTTCAAAATGAGTATAAATTACTAAAACTGTTAAAAGTCTCACATCAACTTTTAGGATCAAGGTTTTAATTTTTT